GACCTGGAAGGGATAAGAATTATTGAACAGCTATTCAGGCAATTTTTGCTCGCCTCTGCAGCTTCAAAGGTGGGAAAAGTCCTTTTCTATTTATCAGTGGATGGATGACACACTTCTATAAAATGCAGGAAACCTGTGTAATAAAAACAGTTTTAAGACTTCGGTGTCATTGCTCATTACAACCAAACGATAAACCCACTATTAGAATTGTTAATTTGCATTCAAGCAGAGATGTTTAATTCTAGACTTTTTAAACGGCCTTGGTTATGTGATTTTAAAAGTATGTTCTCTGCTGCTTTTGTTACCAGTTGGGTTGTGAAGTGTTGTGCCATTTCTTCAAGCAGTTTCAGGTTCATGGTGTTGAAAAAAACTAATCACTATTTTATTTTATTTTTATTTATTTGTTTATTTGATTTGTCAATCGCTTACAAGATGATAGGTATAAGAATAAACATGAGTATGAATACAGGAAATAGGTATGGATAAATGGGAACAATAGGACAGGGATGGTAGGCACGATGGTGGACTTATGCACAGACCTTACAGACCTCTTAGGAATAGTAGATAGTTTAAGGTTAAAGGAGTGGGGGTTAGAGGATGTAACAACAGAGTCAGATAGTGCATTCCAGGCATTGACCATTCTGTTGCTGAAATCGTACTTTCTGCAATCAAGTTTGGAGCGGTTTACATTGAGTTTGTATCTGTTGTGTGCTCTTGTATTGTTGCAATTGAAGCTGAAGTAGTCATTGACTGGTAGGACATTGTAGCAGAAAATTTTGTGTACTACAGTTTTGCTTAAGTCCAACTGTAGACTGTGTAGTTCAAGGTTGTCCAAGCCCAAAATTTCAAGCCTGGTGATATCGGGTATTCTGTTGCGAGCAGAGGAGTGTAGTACTCTTCTCGTGAAATACTTCTGGTATCAATTATTAATTTAATAATTAATTAAAATAATTATTAATATTTGCAATATATATATATCAAGTTAATTCTTCCTGTCAACAGTAGTTTGTAGTTGGATAAGGCTGTGTCAGAGATGGGTTGAGATAAGCCTTAGTCACTTAAGTCTTTGTTTCTAGCTTTGGAAAAGGAAAAGTGACAGCATTATGTAAAACTGCATGCCAATACCTGTGACATACCTGGACTTAGAGCAGCATCCTGCTGATTTGGAATAACCCCGTATTGGCAGAGAGTGACTGCTGAGTAGCATGCATGTTGACTTTCTTAACCCTCTTTATTTCTTTACAATGCTGTCTTTTAACGGACATGTTACAGACCTCCTGGGAGAGGGTGAGTAATGCTTGATTTCTAAGCAGTTCTTCCAGCTGAAATGTTTAAATGTTCAATTAGACTAGGCCTGTCTCTGTTCAATATATTTTACTGTGCAATCTAGTATTACTTTGGCCTTTTCTGCTTACTGTTCCTGTTTGATCTTCCTGTATGGACGCATGTAGACAGTTTGGCTGGATTTTCCAGTGTTACCTCTGAACCACAGATTTCAGATCCATTTGCACCAGAACCCATCCTAGCTCCTCCTGCTGCAACTGCTGACACAGCAACTACTTCTGCAACTACCACTGGTGCTGTTCCTCCGGCTGCTGCGGCTGAGGTGGATCTCTTTGGAGGTTAGTTAGCTGATTTATTCACTACCACTTTCTCGACTGAAACACGGGGAGGATGAAGGAAACATTGGTCGGTGTTGGTAGCTTTCTTCATCTCACCTACAGCATTAATAAAAATTTTGAAAAGAGACCGGACGTGCATGTTACCGCATGCAAAAATAATTATGGGAAGTAATCTTCATAGGAACATGGGTGGAATGAACTTACCTGTCATAAATGTGTTATATTAAGCAGCGTAAATCTCTTTCCTTGCGAATAGCAATCGGTTTGAGACCTGTAGAAGAGCTTAATCTTTTTTCCCTTCTCTGCTTACGAGTGGTCCCTTGTTCTGAAGCTGTATTCAACCTGACTTTACTACCCCAAATGTATCAGCTATACCTTCTGAAGCAAATTGAACTTTGGATAATTAAGCAAAAAATCTGCCCACCAGAGATGCCAGTTATAAATATTGTACAGGTTTCTTTCTCTGAATGGGAGAAATAGATCTATTGGTATTGCTACACTTATCACCATTAACCATGTTATGCTAAACTGGGGTGAGGAGGTTGGCCCTTCTCTTGCCTTATCTGGTAAGTTGTAGTCTGCAGAATAATATAATTTGACAAGATAAAAGTTTTTCAGGAGGAAAAGTACATACTATAAAACAAATATACATACATACATCGATTTAGTGATTCTTCAGGTAAGCAAAATGTTTCCAATATAACAGCTGTGAAATTTTATCCCATTTTCAGTATCAGCTTTCAGCATTTCAGTGTGACTTTTAGGGTATAGCTTCCTGTTTACCTTAGCTAAGTAGAGTTCTTGAAATTGAAATGTTCTCAGTTATTGGACAACTGCCATACAGTTTTCTGTAACGTGTGTTAAGCAAAACAAAATTGCTTAAAAGCTTCATTTATTAGAATACAAGTTCAGCACAATCAGAATTTGGCAGACTCCATTTCCTGTTGCTTTTTTTCTTATTACTTTGCTCTTTAATAGTTCTTACAGGCAGCTTTAACTTGTTCTGTTGCAGATCAGATGCATGTCTATGTGAGCTTTTTAGAATAGATAGCAGGATTTTTATTTTCAAGGATGAATATTTTTAACTTTAAATTGTCTGTGTCGTAATAAGCATGTGAGTCTTCCTGTTTCTAGAGAAATTGTAAGTTTGTTCTTTCTAGTGGGAAATTGCATGGCAGCAAAGCCAACATGTCCTGTTTTAATTCTGAATTGCCTTTTCAAACTCCCCACCATTGTGGCTACTTCAATCTTTCCCTGTTTCTTCTGATCATTTTGCACAATCTTATTTCCTGCTGCTGAAGTTGGCAGGGTTTGTAGTACTGTACACAATTAATAGACAGAGAGATATAGACTACAATTCACTTGGGCTACATGGTTGAGAAAACAATGCATTTGCATTTGCTGTAATTAGAGACATCCAGGAATATCCACTGAGTTGTGGGAAACAGAAAAAGGCTAGATCTAGTTTTCTAAATTCAAATCTAGAAAAAATTCCTGCCTCTCAGTAACATTAAGGCTTTGAAAAAAGTAGAAGCTACGTTTTACCCAATTTCCTCATTTTCTTGGGTTGATAAAAGAGGACTTGCTTTGATTAACTCTAAAGGATAGTTCAGCATTGCATAAACAGGCTAGTGAATTTTTATCACTGAGGATGCCAGATAAAAAGATTAGAATCAATATCCTTATTCAAAGTGACTGGAACTGGTCATTGATAATGTTCTCATGATGTAGTAAAGCTAAGCTTATCCTTAAAATTAACTTGAAGTTTTAACTGTGAGATACCAGAGGGAAGAGCAATTGGGTGCCTCAACTTTTCCTTCTGTGGTCTAACAACATTTTTTAGTCTATTTTACTTCTCCAAGGGCGGCACAATAGCTCTGTGGTTAAGACACTGGGCTTGTTGACCGGAAAGCCGGCAGTGCCATGAAAGACCCAAGTGCCATATGAACCGGTGAGTTCCCGTCCTTGCCCCAGCTCTTGCCAACCTAGTAGTTCGAAAGCATGCAAATGCAAGTAGATAAATAGGTATCACTTCGGTGGGAAGGTAACAGCACACCATGTTGTCATGGCAAGCTACATGGCCACAGAAATGTCTTCAGAAAGTTCTGGCTCAATGGCCTTGAAACAGAGATGACTATCACCCCCTAAAGTTGACAACCACTAGCAGAATAAAGTCCTCAGGGACTCCTTTTTAACTTACTTCCCCCATCTTAGATAATATATGAAACAATTTGACAGAACAGGAAAAGTTACTCTGTTAAGAACATTGGTTATTGAATATTGATTATTGAATTATTTTTATGTTATTTATTAGGTTTTTTCTCCCCCTTGGAGGTTACATATGCATGCTGCTCAAGACCCTTATACAAGGAGCATTTTTCGCCATTAGCTTTTCTGCTTATCTTGTGCGTACTTCCAGACTGTCGCGATCTTTGTGACCTAATATAATTACGTGGGTTGAGTTTAGTTTGAAAACTGACGGTAATTGCACAAAACAAATGCAACCTTCACCCTATGAACCTGCATTTTGTATAAGGGATTTTTTTTTATGCTATTTAACTTGGTTCTTTTACTATATTTTCTTCTTCTTTTTATTCTTCTTCTTAATTTCTGTTTCTAAACCTGCACTCAAGATGCCTTTGCAGCTTCTCCTGGTGAAGCCCCTACAGCACCTGAAGGGGCAGCAGCACCAGCTACCCCAACCCCTGTAGCAGCAGCTCTTGATGCATGCTCAGGAAATGGTGGGTTCCATCTCATTAGCTCATCTGTCGTTGTTGTGTGTGTCATACTAATTAAAATAAACTTCATGGCAGTATGTTTATCACTTAAGGATGGGGGAGGGGTTCTAAAAAAAAACCAACACACGTTTTCCCCAGGTATTTGGACAAAAGTTCTAATCGAACAAAATTGTGTCAAGAAAGCATTCCTACATGATTTGCTCGCCAAAGCCTTTTTTAATTGAAAAATGTTAACAATGCTGAATCTTGCATGTAGCTGGTGGAATGTTTCTCCAGTTAGAAACACCTTAGTTTAGTAAGTGAGAGGGAGAATGCATGTGGGCAAATGGGCACCTATTAGTACAGATGTCAGAGAATCAACAGTAGTTAACAAAGCTGTGCCTTTGATCTCTGTTTTGCATGTATGTATAAATGATGATACGTGTGTGTATGATTTAATCCACACAGGGTGTGGCTTTTCCTATCTCCTTCCCGGCTGATCCTTTATATGTGTATATTCTGCCGTTTCCTTTTACAAGACCCCTTTGCCCCGTCAGAAGGCAATGCAGAGGCTGCTCCTGAGCTGGACCTCTTTGCTATGAAGCCAGCTGAGACCGGCGTTCCTGTAGTTACCCCTACAACTAGTGCAGCTCCTTCTGCAACCAGTCCTACTCCAGTTGCTGCTGTGGCCCCTCCAGTCCCTGCTACAACTGCTGCTACTACTGCTACTGTCACTACTGCTACTACATCTGCTACTACCACCTCTATCACCACCTCTGCTCCTCCTGCTGCTCTAGATATCTTTGGTGGTAACTTACTTAATTATTTCTTTCAACTGATACATTTTGGGGTGAATTAGATTTTCAGCCTGTGAAAATCTATTGCATATTTAGACTATATGGCAATTATTTTTTGAAAAGAAACAAGGTTTACAACAGGGAGATACAAATTAGTAAGACACAATATATTCTTCATCTAGATTTGTTTGAATCCACACCTGCTGAGGCTCCGGCACCACCTAAGCCAGATGCAGCTCCTAGCATAGACCTATTTGGGACAGGTAAATATATATAAAAGTACTATCCTATAATAATGCAAGTTTGTGTTTTTAGATTTCCATTTTATTTGATTGCTGAGCAATTTTTTTTCTCAATCATATACATATCTATCTCTAATCTTCATGTAATTTGTAATTCATTTTCCTTTGGCTTCTGCAAGATACTTTTTCTTCTTCAATTACTGGAGCTTCTCCTGGGCCCGAGAATTCTCTCACTGGTGATCTCTTATCAGGTAGGCACTTCCTCTTTAGACCTAAGTTATACTCTTGTGGCTTGTCACTTTCCTTCCAAAATACCTGTGCTGTCCCAGCCAGTCTATGGGAATTGGATAGTTACTTAGGAATTATGAGCTGTCCCCTTAAGGGAAGGCATCATGGTAAATATAGTTAAAGGTATCCTGGGAAATGTAGTTCATGTCACGTGGCCACACCTGTAATCCCAATTGGTCACTAATTTGACCCTCAATGGGTTGGGGGAGTTTCCCTCACTTTTGCCTGAACTCCCTAACTCATGGCAGCTGCTTTCTATCGCTACGAGATGGGTTAGGAGATAGCCATCTTTTACTTTTCTGTATCCTGCACAGTAATGGATTTGCGAGCTGTGCAGATGTAGATAGATAAACTCCACAAAACATCCATAACAAAGTACATTTATTGGTTCATCAGGTATCCTCATAACTCACATTTGTGACGAAGTTCTTCTTTAATGACCAATCCTTTGTATATTTGCCTGGTAGTAAAGGATGGTTATCTCCTAACCCATCTCGTAGCAATAGAAAGCAGCTGCCATGAGTTAGGGAGTTCAGGCAAAAGTGAGGGAAACACCCCCAACCCATCGAGGGTCAAATTAGTGACCAATCGGGATTACAGATGTGACCATGCGACATGAACTACATTTCCCAGGATACCTTTAACTAAATTTACCATGATGCATTCCCTTAATGGGACAGCTCATAATTCTTAAGTAACTATCCAATTCCCATAGACTGGCTGGGACAGCACAATACCTGCGAAACATGATCAGTTTTACACTGTTGAAAAGTTAGTAAAGTCAAAACTGAACTGATCTCCTGAATATTCCCTGAGTCATTTTAGATGACCTTTGATCAGGGATCCCTAACCCTTGGTCCACAGACCGGCACTGGTTCGTGGCTCACTAGGAACCGGGCTGTGCAAGCAACTGAAGCCCCCATCCATATAGACATGGGATTCAGGCAGCGTGCAAAACCACGCCTCCCTGGTCCACGGAAAAACTGCCCTGTCCCCGTCCCCCAAAAGGTTGGGAACTGTTGCCTTTGAAAACATTTACGCTGTTATAATTAAAAAGAGGCAGCTCCCTCCCACAAATCTTAGATTGTATAAGACTTGCCCAAGTTCCCACGCAAGCAGTTGACCTAGAACATGAAACTGTTAATTATACTCATAAGATCTTGATAATAGAAAATGAAAACATAATTATTTTAATTTAGGAAGGCAATGTGTGCCACCTTCTGCTAAATTTGTAGTGCTAATCCTGTTTACAGACTTCTATGTGCAGTTTACATTCAATTTCTTGTTCAAATTATTGCTGAAAGATGGACAGAGTCAAAAGCCACCAGGAGAGCTTGTTTATAATCGTAACCCAGGAAAATAAATTTATGAGATACATAGTCTTATAGCATCTTCCCTATTGACAGATTTACTTGGTGATTTAGATGTAGTTCTAAGTGATAGTTACCTGCTATATTAATAAGCATTTTCAGGTCCTAGGGTCATAATACTGACCTCCACAGCTTATCTATTAAAAGAAGGATCAAGAAGCTGCCATGATCAGGAAGTTTTCCTGCTATCCAGAATCCAGGAAATCTAAATAGTTAAACATTTCTGGCTATAAAATTTGATCATATTTTGAGATAACCAGAATTCCCATAGCATGAATGAAATGAGAAATCTGAAAACAACAGCTCTTGAGTGTATGCATGCAATAATATAAAACCAAGGCATGCATACACACACACACACACACACACACACACACACACACACACACCCATATGTATTATTACCGTATGCAGTCCCTGCGTGTGTACAAGATAGATAAAAAATGGCCAAAGAACAGTTTTTTTCTTTTCAATCTAATTTTTAAACATATCTGCTTTTATAGTGGATACTCTGTGAAAAATTTAAAGGGAATTTAGTTTTTCCAAGTCTTCCCAATATATACATTGTGTTGTCATGGGTTCAAGGTAATGGCCTCATCATTCCTAATTTGCTGATACTAAATATTATCATGCTTACTCCAGTGGACGCATTTGCAGCACCATCGTCCCTGCCCACTGCTTCCCCGGCTAAAGTGGACTCTTCAGGTGTGATTGACCTGTTTTGTGGTGGGTATTGTTGTTCCTCACCATTCAAGTACTTCCCATTTCATTTCAGGGTTCATTTCATTTTTCTTTGCCAGCAATTCAACATTTCACAACAGTTGTGCTATACTGTGTTGTGCTTCTTTTGCTTTTTAACATTTTGTTATAAAATGCAGTTGGGGTGTGTGTTTTTTATTGTCATCTGTCCTTATTTCCACGCATGGAATTCCTTTCTTGTTCAAGTAACTATTTCATTCTTCCTCCTACAGTATAGAATTTTCAGTTTTACAATTATGCTTCTCTACAGCATGTATATTTCTCTTGACAGCTACCTGTTAGCTATTTGTAGGTTAGGGATGGAGTGAGGGATCTGTCTGTCTGTCTGTCTATCTATCTATCTATCTATCTATCTATCTATCTATCTATCTATCT